GGTTGTCCCTGGTGTGTCCTCACACAGTAAAAGGGGTAAGGGAGCTTTTTAGGATCCCTTTTATAAGGGCACTAATCCAGTTCATGAAGGCTCCACCCTCAGGCTCTAATCACCTCCTGGGAGTCTCATCCTAATACCTCCTAATACCATCACATTGGGGCTTAGGTTTCAACATACGAATTTTGGAGGAACCCAGACATTCAGTCTATAGCACCGTCCTGTTTCTACTAGCAAATAGCCCAGGACTTGCTTGTGGCATGGCCATATCTTTTGTGATATCCTTTGCTTTTTCCCAAAGCGGGAGCAGAGATTGCTTTAACCCGGGTGAGATTTAGGGCTGTTGGAGATAAACACTTATCCATACTTTAGATTCTATAATATTTGTCTCACCAAAAACCATGAATTTACAATGAGGCACAGAGAGACAACCACTCAGCTTGGAGACCAAGATCATTGTCCTGATCTGCCACTTAATCTGCCCGCGTGAGATCACTGGTGAATCATCCACTTCTCCGGGCCTCTTTCCTCAGCTCTCTGGGCTAACAATGTGAAGGGCATTGTGTGCTGTCACAGGTGCTCTGGTGCTCCACCCAGACCCCTTCACCAGGCGGGTACACCCATTTCCAGCTGCTGTGATTGTTGGCTATGGGTTTGCAGTTAGGGTTCCCTCAATCCTTACTTCAGGTTCTGCTTTTGGGGACCCCAATCCCAGACACCTTCCTCATGGTGTTTCAAGAATCCAATAAGATTCTGTATGTGGAGGCCCTCTGAAAACTGAAGTATCAGTGGGGTTGTAGTGTGGTCTTGGGCCAAGCTGTAAAAATACCAGCTGCGGCTTCTTGGCCGAAGGCCTGTGATGAAGGCAGATAAAGCGCCCAGGGAGGGCAGGGCTGTTGTCATGCACCCCAAGGATGTGAGCGCAGCTTTCTCTCACTCCCTCCCCAACCTAGGAGCTCCGGAGAGAGGGCAGACAGTAAAAATGGGTTTCCTTAAAGCGGAATAATGTTTGCGTCATGTTAAGTAGTGGTTGAACACGTTTTTCCCCATACCGGGAGGAAAAGAACTGGAGCTGCAAATCATTCAGACGTTGGAATAGAGCAAGGTCACCGAAATTCCTGCCTTTGCTTTGGATGCAGAGTGAACAAAAGTCCCACTGCACACTACAGCTTTCTAAGAGGTGCCAGTTTCAGCATATTTAAAAATCCCTAAATATTTATTTTAACAGGACGTTTCAGGTGTGTGTGTGTGTTTGTGTGTGTGTGTGTGTGTGTGTGTGTGTGAAATGAGAGCAAAATTGAAAGGGAACGAGGGAGCTGTGGCCCTGAGGTCTAGAACACGCAGTGTCCCCAGTTAATCATTGATGTCCCAGGCACCGATGGGCCACCAGAGCCGGCACGGCTGCGGGGGGTCAGCGTACCTGCTAATGGAATGCTAGGACGCCTCTGGTGCAGTTAATGATTTCTCTGTGCCCAGCTACAGTGCTCTCCTTTCTCTGAAACTCACAGAAGGCCGGTGATCTTCTTCTGGATTAGGCTGGCCCTGCCTATTGGGGTGGAGGAGAAGATAATGATGATTTGCAAATTCACTACATGACCAGACTCCCCAAGGGTTTCCTTTCATAGGGAAGGGTTTCTTTTCCTTCGTTGTTTCTGGAAAATATGCTTTAACAGGAGAGCTGTGCTGTAACAGAATAACTGTTGCCTAATATTTCTTTTTGTGAGCCTTTGTGCCAAGAGAGTGCCACAGGATGACACCCTAGTATATGGGCATATGACATTTGTCATCTTCAAACGTGCATAAAGTTTATTTGAGCAGGGTTTTTATTCCCATTGCTAGATTTAAGTACTTTGAGGGCCTCCACACATTACGAATGTTTATGCTATACATTCATTATGTAGTCACACTAATATAAAAGGAACACATTTTTATTTAAATTGGGGTTTTTTTTTGTTTTGTTTTACCTGCCAGCGACCCTTTTAACAGCAAGCAACATGGGGAAAATTATTTTTCTATTTTACAAAATTCAGGTGTGTTTGCAGGAATATCAGAAAATAATAGTTAACTAAAAGGAAAAGAGGAGACCCAGAGACAACTATTGTTTGTTCTTTGTTTCATATTATAATAGATCAGAAGCCCAGTGCACGAACTCATGCATGGGTGGGGTCCCTCAGCCTGGCCAGCTGGCCCCCCCATCAGGGCCAATCAGGGGGCTGGCCAGGGAAGGGGTCAAGGGGGGTTGGCTGTGGGAGTGCACTGACAACAGGGGCAGCTCCTGTGTTGAGCATCTGCCCCCTGGTGGTCAGTGCTCATCATAGCAACTGGTTGACTAGTCGACCGGTTGTTCTAGTCGTTTGGTCCTAAAGGTCACTTAGGCTTTTACATATAGGGATAATTGATGTGGTCCTGGCAGCCTGAGATGGGACACAGTGCCTTGGTGAGGTTGCAGTGGCTTCCCACATCCCTGTCTGCCTCTGGGGGAAGAGATTTCAGAATAACCGTTCCCTCACAGGAAGTCAGTCTCCGTCATGAGTATTGTGCAGATTTTTAAAAAAATATATTTTTATTGATTTCAGAAAGGAAAGGAGAGGGAGAGAGATATAAAAACATCAATGATGAGAGAGAGTTATTGATCGGCTGCTTCCTACATGCCCCACACTGGGGATCAAGCCCGCAACCCTGGGCATCCGCCTTGACCAGGAATCGAACCGTGACCTCCTGGTTCATAGGTTGACGCTCTATCACTGAGCTACGCTAGCCAGGCTATAGTATAGATTTTGATAGGAAAGAGATGTTTGTTTGTTTCCAAAAATCACAAATAAGATGGGTAATAATGATTTGGAGAGTTGCTTTTTGTTTTTCACTGAAGCCTGACTACCGATTAGTAAGGATGAGAGGCAGGCCTTGTGAGATTCATAAAATGGCACAGAAGGGTGATCATTTACTTTGGGGACATTACCTGTGATTCCAGGCCTTCTTTCCTAAGAAGATATCTGCATCCTGGCCACTGAGAAATGAGTATCGGGATGCGTTGGGGGCTGGACACCTGGGAAGAGCAGCAAGCACAGCCCAAAGACAACTGCTGCTGCTTTTCACAGTCTTTCTTTCTCAGCTGCTTTGGGAATTAACTATGTTAGGATGCCCAGCGTGCATGCACACGCCACCTCCTCTCTTTCTCCCACATGCTGACAGAGCACCCCCTCTGACCTTACTGGGGGGTGTGGGGGGGATTATTCTATGGGTCACCGAGGACTTTCATTGTGAATGCAATTTGGGGTCATCAGTGAATTCTGGTTTTGCTTCACCCGCATTCATTTTCTCTCGTCTTGTCGTGGATCCATAAGTAAAAGCCATTGCTACCATGTTTTGTAATTCAAACATTGTCTTTATCAAGAGGTTTCTGTGATGTCTTCTGTGCATTTCCAGTGCTAAAATCCCCCAGTTCTGGGTCCCAGGCTGTGTATCCATGGGCCAGTTTGAGCCTTGCTCCTCCAAAGATTAGTCCATTCTGAAGTGCCTGCTGAGTTTCAGGGGTTTGAGGGCCCTTGGGGAACTTTCTTTGAAACTCAAAGTGATTTCTTTCCTTGAAATTTACCTCTGTCTACATTTCCCTGTCTTTGGGGAAATATCCTCTGAACCAGCGGTCGCCAACCTTTTGGACCTCATGGCCCACCAGTGGTCTGCGGACCACCGATTGTCGACTGCTGCTCCAAAGGTTTCCTTAAACCAGCAGTCACCAACCTTTCAGACCTCGCAGACTACCAGTGGTCCGCAGACCACCAGTTGGTGACCGCTGCTCTGAACAAGTCACTCTTGAGGCTCAGATGCATCAAGTACTTAGAGAAGTGCTTACTTAACATACTTAGCCCTCAACAGAGGTTAGGTGTTTACTATTATTAGAGAAAGACTGAGCGGTCTAGAGCAGCACTGCCCAATAGAAACCCCATGCAGTGCATTTACTAGTATGTCATAGTAACTTTTCTAGTAGCCACGTTAAGAAGTAAAGAGAAACAGGAGAAATTAAATACTTTTAAAAATTTTTTTCATTGATTTTTAGAGAGAGGAAGGGAGAGGGAGAGAGAGAGAGAGAGACATCGATGTGAGAGGGAAACATTGATCAGCTGCCTCCTCCATGCCCCCTACCAGGGATGGAACCTGCAACCTCAACATATGCCCTGACTGGGAATCAAACCTGCAACCTTTAGGTGCACGGGACGATGCCTAACCAAATGAGCCACACTGGCTAGGGCAGGTGAAATTAATTTTGACAACATATGTTATTTAATCCAACATGTCAAAAATACTGTCTTTTCAACATGTAATCAGTATTTTTAAATTATTGAGATATTTTACATTATTTTTTCATGCTAAATGTACAAAACCCAGTGTTTAATTTATGCTCATGGTGCAACCCCATTATGAAGGGCCACATTTCAGGCGCTCCTTCACACAGGTAGCTAGTGGTGCCATTCTGGGGACCTTGCTCCTCAACGTGAGTTCTGGGGACCAGCAGCGTTGGCATCATCTGAGAGCTTGTCTGAACTGCAGAGTCTCAGGCTCCTCCCAAGACCTATAGAAGCAGAATCTGCATTTTCCCAGGTGATTTATTTGCATCATAGAGTAGGAAGCACCGATCTAGACTCTCCATGCTCACCCCCACCCCTTGGGATTCTGATTTAACTGGTCCAAGGTAGGGCATGGGCATTTCTATTTTTCAAAGCTCCCTCAGGTGATTCTCATGTGCAACCAGGCTCTTGTGTAGTGGGCCCTGGAGCTAGGATACCTGCCTCTGCTGCTTTCTACCTTCAAGACCCCGGGAAATCTACCCAAACTTCCCGGGCCTCAATTTCCTCGTCTCCAAAATGTAGATGGAAATAGTATCTGCTTCAAGGGTTGCTATGAGGATAAGTGAGTTAACACATGTAAAGAACTCAGAACAGTACCTGGCACACAGGAAGTACTCCTTAAATATAAGCGCTCACCCTTTCTTCTTTTTCTTAAAGGTCCGGGGTTACCCAGAGCCCCAGGTGACGTGGCACAGAAATGGGCAGCCCATCAACAGTGGGGGCCGCTTCCTGCTGGACTGTGGTATCCGCGGGAGTTTCAGCCTTGTGATTCATGCCGTCCGGGAGGAGGACAAGGGAAAGTACACCTGTGAAGCCACCAATGGTAGCGGTGCCCGCCAGGTGACAGTGGAGTTGACGGTAGAAGGTGAGTCCCAGGAGGTGAGAGCCCTGGTCGGAGCCATTGGCTTCCCAAGGCCCATAGTTCCTGCTCCAGCCCTCTCTTAGGAAAGGAACCCACAAGAGAAAGTGCATCCAGCCCTGAACTCAGGACCTTTTATTTTATTTTGTTAATCCTTACAGGAGGACCTTTTTTCCACTGATTTTTTTTAGAGGGAAGGGAGGGGTGTGGGAGGCAGAGAGAAAGAGAGATAAAAAGAAAGAAACATCAATGTGAGAGAGAGACATTGATTGGTTGACTCCTGCATTTGTCCCAAAGGGGGCCAGGAATGAACCTGCAACCCAGGTACATGCCCTTGACTAGGAATCAAACCCTCAACCCTTTGGTGCACAGGTTGACATTCTAACCACTGAGCACACCAGCCAGGGCAGGACCTTTTAGTCTAATGGGGATAATGCGGTTCCTGCAAAGGAGGGAGGCATCCCAGGAGACAGTGTTTGCCAAACTACACATCACCTCACTGTCCTGCTCCATCTTCCTATCGATTTCTCCACATGGAGACAGAGCCCAGACTCCTTCCAGAACCTGCCCAGTCGGCTCTGCCTGGCTCTCCAGACCGTCTCCTGACACTCCTCACCTGCCCATGCCACAGGGTCACGCTGGCCCTCTGCTCTTCCTGGGGCCAGGCCCCAGGCCGTCGCCCTGCAGTTCCCATCTAAAGGAAGCGCTCTTTCCGTAGCCCTTCACCTGACTCGGCCCCTCACCTCCTCAGGTCTCTGCTCAGATGTCCCCTTCTTAGAAAACCCTTTCTGACCACCCCACCCCAGGACTCTCCATTTCTCACTCCACCCGAATCTTCTCCTTTAGGACTCACATTGTATTATTCCCTCTGCCCAGTTTTGGGGCCTGGGGAGGCTGGAGGAGGGGGGCTTGACCTTGTTACTGCTGTATCTCCTGCATCTGGAAAACCTCCTGGCTCCTGAGAGATGCTGAAATATTTAGAGAATGAATGAACAGTATTTACTGTCATCAGTAAAAAATAATATATGCCCATTATAAAAAATGTTGTAAAACTCAAAAAAAATATATAAGATAAGCACACCAGTATGCTAACAGTGATGAGTTACTTTGTCTTTTTCTTGTCTTAATACTTAAATTTCCATTCAATTTAAAACTTCCAGGAAGTAAACATTTGACCGTAAGTAAAGCTGTTTCTTTTGCTGAAGCGCTTCACTGGGGAGGACACTTCCAGTTCAGATTGCGGGCTGATGCTCAAAGACCTGATGTCGGACGGATATGGGGTTGTCAGGCCCTCAGATGATGACCAGGTTCCCTGGGCCCTCCCAGGCCTTTTTAAGGGCTTATATTCCAGAGGGTCAGAGTCACTTTCTCCACTCTCAGAAGACATTCCTCCCAACCTGGGTTTCAGAAATACCAGGTGTGAGGATTCAGATAACTAGGGAAGTTTCCAGAAGGGGACAAGGGGCACCTGGGCCAATGTTTTCCCTGCATCATAGGAGGACAGACTGTTTCACAGAACAGAACATGCATAGTTTGGATAGTTTCCCCAAATTCTTTAACTGAGCGACTTGTTCCTTTTAATGACCTTCCAGTGCCTGTGGGCGAGGGCATTCCAGATGGAGCGCGGCCCGGTCAGAGTCTCTGAGTGGCCCTCATCTCAGCCAGTCTGGTGCTGTTCTTTCCCCTGCATGGTGCATGTTTCAATGCCCACACTTTGAGTGAAGGCGCACAAATAAAAATTACTTTATCGTCTTGTATCAGTCAGCTTGGGCTGCTGGAACAGACTGTGTGGCTTAAATAATAGAAATTTATTTTCTCACAGATCTGGAGACTGGAAGTCCAAGATCAAGGTCCAATAGGGTTTGGTTTCCAGTGAAGACTCTTCCTGGTTTGCAGATAGCCACCTTTTTGCTGTGTCCGCAGGCATCGGCTGTGGGGGGGGGGGGGGGGGGGGGGAGATCTCTCCAGTGTCCCTTCCTCTTCTTATAAGGGCACCACCCTATTGGATTAGGGCCCTGACCTTATGACCTCATTGAACTTTAATCACCTCCTCACAGGCCCTGTCTCCAAATGCAGTCATGGTGTGGGTAGCAGGGCTAGGGCTTCAACATTATGGATTTGGGTGGGGACACAGAAATTCAGCCTATCACACCCCATTTCTGACATTCAGTTTGGAGCAGGGGAAATAGGCAATTATGAGCCAGGGCTCTAAGCTTCTGTTCCCACCTTTTCCAGTCAGATGTGTGACTTTAAACCTCCGGACCTCTGCTTCTGTAGAATAAAGTGTTTGAATTCAGTGGTCTCTAAAACTCGGGCTAGCCTTGGTTTTCTATGATCTAATTTAAAGGAGTGGAGTAGGTTAGGATTGCAAGGGAGGTATATCACACCTTTGTTTCAGTTCCCATTGTTGAGAAAATTAGATCTGATGTCTCAACTAGGCAAGAAAAATTTCAGTCCTTCGTGATACTCAGGACAGGGGGCGGAAACAAGGCAGGAGAGGTATAGCAGAAGGAGAGAAGGCTGAGGCTCCCAACCCTGCCCCTCCCCTTTGATTTTAATTTGGGGAGACTCAGGCCCAGACCATTTCAGATGTTGTATGTCCTCTGGGAGATAGAATGGCCTAAAGGCTGCAGCCTCTTTAATTGTGAATGGCTCTCTACACATTCTGCTTCTGCATCGGAGTCCAGTTTCAGCCAGTGTGTGGGTTGGGACCACCCATAGACCACAGGCCCAGAAAGGGCCACTTGTTACTGTGCCACACTAGCCCTAACTCGTACAGAGGGGAGCTAGCAGCCCACCTGCCTCCTTGCCAACTCTCTGCTGTGTTCTTACTTGGAAAGAGCAGAGGTCTTGGAGTTGAGTATAATTCATATATGCAGCCTTTTGACCCCCTAGTGGTCAACTTTAAAAAGCTGTGTTACCAAATGGTCTTGGATTTGAGCTCCACAAATTTCTCACCTTTTGGAGCCTTATTTCCTTTTCTGTAAGCTGGAGCAAATGGCTACCCTACAGGGTTGTGTAAGGATCAGTGCAGCACTGGCAAATGGCAGCCTTGTAATATTTGAACCTGGTATTAGCATCTTGAGAATTACTTCCGGCGGG